TGTACTTAGAAAAGTATTGAAAGAAATCATCAAGGTTTAATTTGATAGCATGAGTATCAGGGGATGGCAGATGGCTTTGAGAAGAGCAAGTATTTCCCGATCATTTTCAATATCATCACCCAGGAAAATTGAAGAAAACACCAGTACCATGGGAGATTGAACTGTGATGTAATTCTTGAGTTTGAGATCTTAATAGCTTTGTATCAACTGATCAAGAAAATATGGTGGTCTACCATGCAGGAATGAAGTGGGTGAACAGCTTGAAGGTGAGTTATTTTTGAAAAATGCTGGCTCAGTCAGGGTGCAGTATAGCACTGATGAAACACACAACATTCCTCTAGTGCTTTAATGCTTCCTCCACCCCACTATCATGTCCCCAGTCCTGCTTTTCAGTTCTGGATAAACCGGAGCATGTACCCTGGTACAGATAAGAGCTCCTGACACACAGAATCCAGGGCAGATAAACCCCTCAGGAACAATAATAAGAGTAGTGACACCAGGAGGGCAGGGGAAAGGTTGCGGGGAAAGGGAGAGAAAGGGAGAACCAATTGCAATGATTGACTTATTATCCCACCACCACTGTGGGGAACGAATCACAGAAATGTGGGGGAAGGGAGACAGTGGATGGTGTAAGATATAAAAAAATAATCATTTATAATTTATCAAGGGTTCTCAATGGAGGGAGGGTTGGGGAAGAAGGGGAAAATGAGGAGCTTATACTAAGGGTTCAAGTAGAAAGAAAAGATTTAGAAAATGATGATGGCAACATATGCACAAATGTGCTTGATAGCAATGATGTATGGATTGTTATACGAGCTGCAAGAGCCCCCAATAAAATGATTTCTTAAAAAAAAAAAAAGGTAAAATGCTGGTTCTTCAGATTAAGCAAGAGAGTGTCTTGGCAGGAACATTATCAAGCATAATTGTAGTGGAACTAGTGTTAACAGCCTCCTGACGTTGTCATAAGGACTGGGGTTTGAACAGTGCCGCTCATTTGGAGTCCTAGTGGGATAATACGTATGCACTCGGCTACCAGCAAACGGACTGGTGGCTCGAGTCCGCTCCGCGTCTCCTTAGAGAAAACTCTGGCAATCTGCTCTAGCCAAGATGACCACACAGGAGACCCCCTAGGGGTGGTTCTGTGCTGTCGCCTGGGGTAGCTAGGAATCAAACTCGATTTGTTGTCACCCAATAGTAATGACAGTGCAGGTCCACTAGTACACCCCTCACTCCATTGCTGTTGAGCCGATTCCAACTCAGAGCTCCCCTGCAGGGCAGAATAGAACTACCCAAATGGCCCTCTAGGTTGAGTCTTTATGGCCGCGCACCACGCCATCTTTTTCCTGAAAGCACTGACATGTTGAAGCACTCTCTCTCTTATAGCAGCTGAGCGCTTAATGGCGGTCCCACCCCAGCTCCTAGCCAACACAGGAAATAACAGGAAAGAATGGGGGAGGTTACATCTACATGTATATTCACGTATTTATAGTTATGCATTCATAAATTTATATAGACATATGTGTGTGTCTATAGAGACACATTTATAAAGGAAGACCCTGGGTACCCTGGGGAACCTCATGCTGGCTAAGCATGAGTCATTCATGGACTGTGGCTTAAAAATCAATCCATCAATCAATCTAGAAACACAACTTTAAGACATTAGGCTAAGGATTTATAAGAATTTTCCAGGCTTGAGGAAAGAATTGACCAACGTGTATTACAGCTCTTTACGTGTGTAGGGGGGCCAGGCATGGAGTCTGTCTCTAGCAAACCCCAGTTCACATTGCACTTTGGTTTATCAGATATTGCCACAAATTGCAATCCTCCTGACATACCCTTGGGGTTTTTCACCATGGGCCCCCTCCCTTGAGGAGCATTAAATTACTACCCCCACCCCAACCTTTTGCAACAGCTGAGAAAGCCCCACTCTCTGGGAATAAGAGAGGGAATTTGAGCTTCTAATTGAACTAAAGTGATTGAAAAAAAAAATCCCTTGAGAGATTGCAAGTGTTCCCATTTGCTCAGTACCCATCCAAAGTGACCTCGCCGCCTTTCCTGTGATCAATTCCTGCAGGGAAAGTGGAGGGGGAGGTGTCTGCCAGGGCTGCTTTCGGATCCACATGGCCTCCTTGTAACCTAACCGGCTGCTGCCCTCCCATGTGGCAACTGGGTGATCACGTCTGGAGAGTGCCCGTGATCCTTGGAAAAATATTCAAATGGATTTTAGGCGAGCTGTTTGTTAGGGTAGAATTGCATCATTATTGCAAGGAGCCTTCGAATTCCATATCTTTACTTTATAAATGCTGGAGGAACCTGAAGTCCAGGGCGGAAACGTGGCAGAAGACTGCTCCTGCCCCCCACAAATCAATGAGTTGTGCACGGACTGCAAAGAGCTGGTGAAAAGACTCCATGATCTTTTCTTTTCTTTCCAATGTTACTACGAACTTTATTTAAATAAGACACAAAACTTTTATCATAGTCACAGGAACTAATATAGTTACAAAATGGTTCTTTCCATTCCATTTTTCTATGAACTTTTTAAAGCCCCCTCCTATGTTGGGATTTCATTCGTTGGTGTCTTAAACCTGTGTCTTCAACCAGAAATCAGAGTCTGGCTGCATTTGCTCTGTATCGGGGAAACAGTCTTACAGGCTCTCAGGGAGCCGGCTGAACTCAGGAACCAGGGAGTGGGCTGGCCTGCAGAGACGGAGTGACAGGTGTCCTGGCAGAGTGGAGAATCCGTACGTGTTCCACTCACCCTGCTACGTGGGAAGACATGCCCTGTGTTGCTAGGTCCACACATTTTCCAAGACAAGCTAGAAATGGGTCAACCTTACTCAGACCAAATACAGATATATTGGCTGGTCTGAACTTGGCCTGTGGGCTGACCTTGCAGAATCCTTTGTGCCTGAGCCTAATGCAATCCTTCTAAGGGAGGAACTAACAGCAGCCGAGTAGACGTGTTCTCTCCTCCCCTCCACTCCTGATTTTCATGATAATGCTCTGGTTAATAGTTTGAACAGCCTCCCATTCCTTTACCCCAGCTGAGGGGATCTATGAGTAGTGTATTCATCTCTCTGCATTTCTTCCTCCCAGGGGAAGTTGTTAGTGAGAGTAAAATGATCAAAAGGCCATTAGTCAAGAAGCGGAAGAGGCTGAGGGCCTGGAAGAGCCACGAGCAAGTGATCTGTTGTAGTAATAAGGAATTGCTAAGCGGTGCGTGTGCCCCCAGATGCCCCTGTCTGGTACTTTCACGTCCATCTGGGACTTAAAGTGAAGATTTGCACCAAGATCCCACCCTGAGGCAGGCCAGAAATGACACCCTCAATTTCTAAATGGATGCCACTCTCCTCCAGCTCCTTGTGAATGCCTTCTTCTGATGTCTTTTGGCTAAATTTCTTTCTCCAGAATTGTTATTGATAAACGGGAGTACCCAAGGGCTTAAAAAAGAAGCAAAAGGCCGAAAGCATCTCTCAGTAGGCTTACTGCCACACCGCTGTGCTCCTACCTCCACCACCCAACCCACCGCTCTGTTGTCAAAATAGGAGCTAGCGTTCCTGAAACATCATTCACTCAGTCCATCCCTCCTTTTGACTCCCAGTCCCCGGTGGCTTGCTGCTCCCTAAAGGCTGAAAGGTCCTTAAGGGATCGCTGTAGTCCACTTCCTTCCCCAGGCCTCTCAGTCCTTACCTGGCCGGCCGACCTTCTGCGCTCCCCTTGCTCGCCCTGCCCAGCCACAAGGGCTTCCTTGCATTTCCACAGCTAGGCAGCGTGCTCCTCTTACCTGGGAAGTCAGCAAAAGCCAGGATGACTCCAGGAGCTGGTTCCACACAGTGGCTGCAGCCATGGGCTCAGGCATCCCAAGGTGAAGATGCCCAGGGTCAGGCAGCGTTGCATTCTGCTGTTCAGGAAGGTTGCCATCAGTCAGAGACAACCAGATGGCCCCTAACAACAACCGTCTTTGCCTTTGTTACCCTCTGTTCATAGCAGTCTCGGCTCTCCCCCGCCAGATACCTCCGTGGTGACCTATTGCTTCTCTAGAGGCTTTCCATATTGAAGATCCCAATCCTCCCACCCCTCTCCCCTCCTACCTCCAGCGCTTGCTCCCAATTGATAACACACATTTTATTCCACCTCTCCCCACTGGAATGTAAACACTATAATTGCAGGGGTGTTTGTCGGTTTCATTCACCACGACATGGATTGAGCTTAAAACAGTGCCTTCCAACATACTAGATGCTAGACGAGCATTTGCTGAATCCATTTTGAGATTCTTTTCGGCTTGGTGGTGGGGACAGCGGTATTCCTTTGAAGCCATCTTGCTAGGCAGTTGGGTCTCTAGCTACAAACAGCCCCATAAACGGTCTTTGCCTGTTTTTCTTCCTCTCTAGTTCTCGGTGTTCATGCTCCTTCCCACCGCCACTGTCTTTTCAACGTCAACTTTTATCCACGCCACGCCCTCTCTTGGCTGCCAGAGTAGCTACCTAACATAGGATCTGGCCATTTTACCCTCCTCTGGGGATTGCCTGTTGCTCTTTGCATAGCCCCAGTGGCTGGTTGCAACCCTGGCTTTCTCTGCTGCTCTGACAGCAGCGACTGCTCCTTCCTGGCCCCTCAGGGGGCATTCTCGCCTGCTTGCAATCTTCACCTGGTTGACATTCTTTCCATCCTGATTGAAGTGTCCCCCTTCCCAAGTTTTTCTTGAGCCCTGCATCTTCCTTTGCAGAATTTACCACAAAGCTGATGGAATACGTGTGATCTTGCTGGTTTAAGGACTGCCTCTGTCGTCTGTGGCTTCTTGAGCATGGGGACCTCTCCTGGGGCTTTGTCCTCCACACTCACTCTGACACGTGCTGGGAGCCTACGCAAGACTTGGCAAGTGAAGAAATGCATGACAATAGACCATAGATGGCTGGCTCAAAGGGGCTGCTTTACCCTAAAGACACTGCCACCCCAGAGCTTGGCGTGTCGTATTAATGATGTGTTTTTCTCCGCAGAGATTATTTTCCAGAAGATGATGTGGAGATGGTGTCCAGAACTAGTCACACAGCAGGTAAGGAGGCTCTAGCTTCACCTTGCTAAACATTTACATAGTTTTCGGCTGA